AGCCTCGAAATTGGAATCCCCCAATAGCTGGCGTCAAAACGCCACCCTGCTAATTGCATTTCCCCAATAGCTTGATGCAAAAACCGTAGCAAATGCTGCAATTTACAGTATGGGAACCAAAAAGAAGAGCCAACATTAGCAAACGAGACCGGGGACCGCCAGCGTTAGGAAAAAAACCTCCCCCTGCCTTTGGTGCTTGGGCTTTCTCAGTCTGTGTGCTTCACACGTCGGAATGCCGCTGGTCGAGTTGCAGGCTACGTCCCCTCCTGGGAGATCCACTGCGGAGGCATTGAGTGGAAGGCCCTTCCCCCTTCACTTGTTCCACTGCACAAGATGTCTGCGAGCTCGTCTCACAAGCAGTGGTAGACAATGGTATACATGTGCGCAGCTGTGCTCGGAGGTGCGAGGGTATTCATCTCTCTCGTGCATGATGGGTGGAAGTCTCTTTGATCAGGTAGTTTTTGCTATGTTGCAGAGCTGCACCTGCCTTAAAGTCGCCTTCTGGGCGTTGAGTTGTTCGTGCCTTCTGACCCGAAGCCTGTGCAGGCCTGCAGTTTCCACGATGCTGTGACAATCGAGCCGCCTGGCCTGTCGAAGGCTGTCAAGTTGGTCATTGTGCTCGCAGTGCCAACTCGCTGATGCTGGCTGCGCAGAACGATTGGTGAGTATGTACCCTAAACCCCTAAACCCTAAACCGTGTGAGTCTGAGAGACTGGACCAAGGCAAGCATACCTCGCGACAGCTGCAGCACCAACCTTGGCTCTTGTCGTGGAAGCTTGCAGTTTCACCTCACAAAATGATGTCAACAAAAGCACATTGCCTGGATTACCTACCACCCTCCTCTTCCAAGGGCGCGCGAGTTCTGCTGACCTTGAGCAGCTTCTGGGACGCAAGTCGTGAGGGGTTGTGGCTTCGGATTTTCAATGTCTTGTCAAAGACACTCAAAGGGCAGGGGAGGAGCAGTCTCCAATCGGCCTTCCATGAGCGCCTTCTGCTGCGTTTGTCTTCAACAGCTGTGTCTAAGACTGCGCCACGTTGTCGTTGATATGTTGCCGGAGCATAGCAACACCTTGACGCCGGCAACACCACAGGCATCACTCTTGCTCACAAGTAAGTGGATACTTGAGAGATTTCGCAAGGACAAGGGCCCTGCTGCAAAAACCTATCATCTTGGCTTGCGCTGTTTAGAATTTAGAGGCATCGCAGCTTGTACCCTGGGAAATGTCGGCGAAGGCCCGAAGAGGGCTACTCCTGAAGTTGCTCCGGGCTTTGTCCTTCTTTGCCTTTGCATTCGCGGCGACTTCCTTTGCAACAGGAGCTACGAACACCGAGGCTCCCCAGAATCCGCGGAAGTGGGACGAGGAGAGGCGATTCGCCGCTTCCGCGCGCGAGAGGGGCGAGGCCTTTATTGGGAGAGAGGAGGAGAAGCTCTTAAAAAGCATCGTGAGGGCAGGCAGGCGTCGTGACTGGAGCAGGGCCAGTGCTATCATATGGGACTACAGCGGCACGCAGACTCCGATTTACAGTGCAGCGCTTTTTGCAGCAATTCGGTGCAAACAGTTCGACGAAGGAGCTAGCATCTATGAGGAAATGTGCCAGAGATCGGTGTGGCGTGATCTACCGAGCTTCTCGATGGCTCTGAAGATCTTCTCTAAGTCTAATTCTTCCCGAGTAGACGAGATTTGGGAGGAGGCGGTGGCAGAACACCCTCCTGACGCAGCCCTTTGTGCTGCAAGGCTCGATGCCGCTGCAGAGGCTGGAGACATCCAAGCTGCCAAGAAGCTCCTGGAACAGATGGGACGCCTAGAGCCTCCGATGGAGCCGAATTTACTGCACTTCACTTCCGCGATCCGTGCCTGCAAAAATGCAGATTCTAGGCTGCAATTCGAAACAGTTTTTTGCCTTTCCCTCTGCTGCTCTTTCCATAAAGTCGCCCATGAACCTAGAACCCAGGATAGCGAAGAGAGCCACGAGATGGCAAAAAGCTTCTTTGAGTTGGCCCTCGGACAGGGCATTGAACCAGACATCGTCGTCTTCCGAGAGTTGATGGGTGCATGCAGGAGGGCCCCGTTGCACGAGGTTCAGACAATTTACAAGTTCCTCAAGGAAATGGGCCTACAGGCGGATCGCATCTTCAGCGACGTCTACTTGAGAGCAGTGCTGCAGCTGCCAAGGTCTAGGAGATTCCAGTCAATTGCGGAGGCGGCGCAAGAACTCCGCGCCATGCAAGATGAGGGCAGATTGGCAGAAGCTCGAGCAGTCTTGGCCGAGTTTACTTCTAAAGATGTGCAGCTGACTGCGCTGGGGCACTTGCTAAATGGCGCACTGCTGCAATTGCAGTGATGTGCCTTTCCGAGCTCGAGTAAGCCGCCGCCTGCAAGCGTAAAAAGGTTGCTCGCTGACCACGGTGATTCAGGGTCTGGCAATATGTCGTTTTTCATGTCCGGTTGGAAAGCATACGGACCGCAACTCCCAACTCCAAACCACTAGGCCGGCTGACTGCAGCATGAGAACTCCCCTGACGCGTCTCAGCTTCCTTTGATGGTATAGTGGAAATCCTACGTGGCTGAGGCGGAGAAGAAGGCCTCTTTGACTTCAAGATGATGACTTGTGCTGGGTCAAAGCATCATATCTGCATTGATCTGCCTGTGCCTCCATATTAATAACTAATCGTGCAATGCAACCCATGGGCGACACTTCAACTTCATGCTATGTCATGCTACATATAGCACTACACAACCATACCTGCAGCCTACTTTCTCATTCGAATTCCTCTCCTTCCGAATGAGAGAGTGTTGCGCGATACGCTTACGGCGTGCATGTGTGTTGTGTGTGTGTGTGTGTGAGCGCATGCATTGTTCAGGGGCAGACGTTTTCGCTACATCCATCCCGCCTTCCTTCCATCCATGCCTGGATGGATGTACGTATGGCTATATACGTATAATATGTGTGGGAATGCCGTTGGCCTTGGTGGAACCACGGCTAATGACTTGTTCCCGCTCACGGAAGACTAGGCCTTCGGACGTCCGTGCCTTGCGGCGCTTGGCGAGCTCAGGGGTCTGACACGAAGCAGTTTGGGCTAAAAGCCCCAGCCTCATCAACACAGATTTTCGAGTCCGCTTTCAGAGGAGTTGCCAGGGATTCTGGATATCCGCGAAACAGCCTGTCACCTTCTTTCTCCACCGGAATCCTTTCAACCGGGAGAGGACGCTGGGGTTTGGGATGCGTGGTGGGCCCTCGATGGACTTACTTTTCGGCACCTGCCTTTGCAGAGGGCAGGGTAGATGTAGTTGCGGCCTTGGTTTCCGGGACAAAGTCCAAACGAAGGTCGCCAACTCTGAGCGTCATATATATATATATATATTTGTATATATTTGTATATATATATATACATACATACATACATACATACATACATACAGATAGATATAGATAGATAGATAGATAGTGTAAAGTCTATAGCAGAGTCTATATTGTATGTTTGACAGTGTACACTACACCATTGCCTACCTTTATATACAAATGTGTATATGTTGTGTGTGTGTGTATTTCTGTATATTGAAGGTTGTGTTTATCATTAGCATTGTCCCTTGCTTTTGTGCATCCACACACACACACAAGCAAAACTCTTGTAGAGCTGCCAAAGCTTCGAGACCACGCATGCTCAATTGGCCAGAGACTGGATGCAGCAAGTCTTCAGAGGCTACTAAGATCTCCAAAGCTGAGATCTTAGCTCGTCCGTCATGGCAGATAGAGCAGCATCCCGACACAAAGTATACCATGCAGACAAAAAAGTGGAGCTGGCGGTTCCGTTCTGATGCGCATGCGCTTCATGCAAGTTCGTGCGGTGCAGATGTTGGGAGAGGATGTGAAACCCGGCCACTCAAGCAATGTGTGCTGATCGTAAGTCACATGAAAAAACCCACTCGAAAGCCATGGAAGAGCAGAAGTTTCGCCCAGGGTTTTCGTCCGGAACACGTCGACTTCCAGAGTGTCCGTCAGCCCTTCTACGAAGCAGCTCAAAGTTAAAGGCCAAAGCCACCGAAGAAATCCCAAAGCCTGACCGAAAGCACCATCACTTCCCCAAGAAAGCTTTAGCAACTTCTAGCAACCTGATCCTGAAGTGTTGGAGCTACGATGGCGCCTCACGGGAGAATTACGTCTCCGCTTCGCCCGCTGTCGCATGAATGTCCTACGGGGATTCCACGAAGGCCTAGTGGCAGCCAAGGCCCCGTTCATCAGGGCCCTGTGAATGGCTTCTGTAAGGATTTCCTCGTGGGATCTATGTCGTTTCCATGAGGGGTGCTCGGGTTTCTATGTAGCTTCTATGTGGGCTTTATTTTCAGACTTTAGCATAGTTTCACCAGGGTTTTAGGTGGCATGTACAAGGGTTGAGGCTTCTCTGCGGGTGTCACACCGGTGCTGGCAGCGTTTCGTAAACGCAGGCCTAGGCGAGCTCGCGGATAGCTAGTTCTAGGCACGCTGTAAAAGTGTCTGCAAAGTCCTTTTGTCTCTTCGGCCAAATTTAGGACAGAGGCGTAACGAAGTGTATGCGAGCTGCGGACTCGGCAGGAGCGGATGCATCGCACTGAATCTGGAACCGCCAGCAGCGCCGAGGCGCAGGGGAGATTCGCTCACCTGGGGCAGAGAGTTCTGCCACAACAACTACTCTTTCCCGCTTTAGGGTCTAAGCTGTTGCAAGCGTGAAAGGAACTTCTGCGCGCATTGCATTCCTTGGTGATGAGTGTCTGCTTTCATGATCTCGCCCTGCGTAGCTTCAATTTCCGGCGACAGGATGCGGCACTTCGCGCCTCACCCGAGTCTGCCAGCGCTCTGACGCCCATGGAGCCTCAGGAAGCAGCCGGGCTCCAGGAGGTCCCGTCTATGAAAGACCCCCTGGCCGTGCTGAATGCCATCCATCAGGTGTTGGTTTCGGCAGGACAGCGGGGTTGAATCCTACCAGCACATCACATAGCTCCTGATCCCAGGCCAGGCAGAAATAAATATTCGTACAGCTCGCCCTGGCTTCTTTCTCAAACAGACACAGTGTGCTGCCCATGATCTCGTCAGCATGAGAAAACAGCTCAAGAACTCTCCGGCAGTCGAGTCGCACATCGCTTCATTCTCCCGGTGTCCGTAAATATGATGTACACATTCTGCGATGCTTGAGAAATTTGGGTGCGTGCCGTTGTCTGCGATGCAGGATTGCACGCAGAGCTCTCGTTACCCACCATAGCAGTGGTGGGATCTCAGTCTGTGGGCAAGACGTCTGTTTTGGAAAGCCTCGTGGGCGTCTTGGCGGCTTCGGGGCAAAGATTGAGAGCTGAAGTGTCCATCAGATGAGGTCTTTTCGCGCACATGCTCAGGCAGAGATTTTCTACCACGAGGCAGCGGGATAGTAACCCGACGGCCGTTGATTCTGCAGCTTCAACAGGTCCGCAATGCAGGACGGAGATGTCATCTGCCGTAGGCATATCGTCCGGAAAGGATGCAAGAAGATTATCCAATCCATGTTGCGTTGCAAAGAGTGAGAATACGAACGAAGCACAGCTGAAGTGAAAGGGTGAGACAAGGGAGAGTTAGTTGGTGAGTGGACTTGTTTGCTTGTTCACTGGCCGCTTGAAGGAGCCGGACACAGCGAGTGGGCAGAGTTCCAGCACAACAATCGAAGGCAGACCATGCACAGTCTCAGCACTTGCGAGGGCCAACTCTCCGGAACAGTGTAGGAGTCGAGGCTTGGGAAAATTCAGGAACAAGCCGGAGCCAAAACGGCTAAAATTAGCTTTTGCAGGTAGGAGAGTCATGGTTTTGCGGTTGGCAAGTTGTGCGCAAGCATCTCAGTTTTCGCGGTGTCGAGCGGGTATGCGAGGTTCAGTGACTTCGGCGATGTCCGCAGAGAGATCGAAGCAGAAACTGCGCGTGTGTGTGGCGGCAGTCGCGCCTTGACAGGATGCCGAACTGGCCATTTGTAGTCCCAATTCCCGGAGTCAAAGCCACCCTTGAAACCCCCAACTCTTATCACCCTGCAATGCGGGCTCGTCCTTGCTAAGTGGGAAGGAAAAAAAAACTCGTCTAAGGCAGTGTCAGCGACGAGCCGATCCTTCTGAGAATCTTCTCGCCGGCAGTCATGGACTTGACCCTTGTCGACCTACCAGGACTGACCAAGGCCCGATAGCTTGCAGAGATCGGAAATGTTTCCGAAAGCCAAGAGCAGGGAAAAAGGCCAAGGCTCCCTTTCCTAGGCTGGCTTGGTCTGATTTGGGGGAGCTTTCCATTTAGCAGCGAGGTACCAACCGGTGACCAGCCGAAGGACATCTCTAAGAGAATCCAGATGCCTGGCCCATTTGAGTACCGATCGCCTTGCCTTTTGCATTGGGCACCCGCATTCGGCTGTAAGTAGTAACTCCATCGAGCAGTACGTCAAAGGGATCTGGTCAAGAAGTACGTGGCTAGCAGCAACACCCTGATCCTTGCCGTGTCCGCGGCAAACGTCGACTTGGCCACCTCGGATGCGCTTGCTTTGGCCCGAGAGGTGGATCCTCAGGGGCAGCGCACAGCTGCCTAGACGCAGGAAGAGAACCTTAATCACTTGAACAAGGCTTGGGGGTATGATTGCGCAGGAATCTCAGGGCAGAGCTATATAACGTACTGCTCGCAGGAAAAGACTGATGCTCCAGGGTTTTGTCGTGTCATAACGGTACATCTTGAACTGTCAAGAATATTGCCAGGTTTATGCATCAGATATCGCTGAAAGTGAGTGGACAGTGCTATGATATGACAGGGATAGCCCTGTTGTGCCATCGGTGATGGGCTTCGATTGCCTCCCTTGCCTTGGAGTGTTTGAGGTCGGGGTGCTCACGAAACTGGACCTGGCAGAGGAACAGAGCACAGCCTTCGAAGCACTGGCGGGAGAAGTCTACCCGCTTCGCCTGGGCTACACAGCAGTGGTTTGCAGGAGCAAAACTTTTGGGAGATCAGGGTCCTCTGAGCTGGACTAGTGACAGTGATCTTCCTTGACAGGAACGACAAGTCAAGCCAGGCTGGGATGACCTTCGAGGATGCACTGAAGGCACCTTGATAGCCTGCGTTGCACGAAGTCATGCTTTTCTTTCCGGCTGTTTTGACAAGCCAGAGGAGGAACACGATTTCTTCACGCGACAGCAGCGATTCCAGCCACTGCTGTCCCAGTCCGCTGACTTAGATAGCATGCTCCCCACGGATGGAGGTCAACCGCGCAAAGTTGATATCTTACCATGCTTCTTGGACTTGTCTTTTTGTTTCAGCTTCTCGTGCCACCGAGGTGCGGCATTCCCAACCTCGCACAGCGACTGCAATTCCTGCTCTTGAACCACATCAGAGAGGCAGGCACTGCAGCTTCCGAAACGTGTTGTACAGAACGGGGTTCAAAAAGCGAGGATGCATGCCTGACTTCTGTGCTAACTAGGCTTTACCTTCCCTGCGCACAAACGTGCAGCAAGTGGCTGGGAAGTGTCGCGAGGACTTCTCACAACCGAGGCTTTTCTCGAAGCCGGTGCCTCTACCTCTTGAGCTTCTCAGGAGCTCGCGACTCTCGGCGACGAGAACCTGGAGAAGCAAATGGGGCAAGGCCCACTCTTGCGCCATGGATGAAGTCTACGTCTAAGCTGCAGCTTGTTGCCGATTGCGGCATGTGCAGTAGCCCTCAGGCTACATTTGATCTCCTGCTACGTGCGGCATTTCGGTGACTTGCTTGAGGGCCGCATCGAGCATCGTTTACAGGAGAGTGAGCTGCAAGACATGCACTCCTCGCGTGTCTGACTGTCAGACTCATGCGCTTTGAAACAGAAGCAGGTGCTGCCAAGCATGGAAATCCGGGAACTGTTGCAGGAACCTCCACCAGCGAAGCTGGTGGGCGGCGCTCGGATCCATCACATCTTCCATCGAGTGTTCGCCCAGGACTTGCTCAAGCAATCTCGTAGTAATTTTTGAATGCCACGTGCCGCCAACCAAATGCAGCACTGACAACAACAGGAGATTCTCCAGTTTGATGCCTTCACAGGGCTGTCTGACATGGACATCCGCGTTGCAATGAGAAACGCTGCTGGCCCCAAGCCGCAGCTACTTGGCTCTTGATCGGTTTCGTCTCCTGCCGCTATGTTGGTGTCCGAATGCTGTCTGTCGAGACGACCTTAGCATGTCTGGATCCTTGTTGGCTACAATTTTACATTTTTGTTATAATAAAACCCAATAAGGGTTAAAAATGATCATCTTTAATATAGCCCGGTAATATAGCCCCAAGAGGGAACCAGATGTTGTGCTAGCTGCCCGACCTGCGGTGAAAGCGCTGCCCCGTGCGGAACCGAACCAACCTCGCCTGCATTGCCCGAGTTGCGGAGTCGAGAAACCCTACAAACCGCAAGCCCTTATACCCCGAGTTGCGAGAGCCCAAACCCTTACACGTGTTCGGATTCCTGATTGGGTCCTAGTGCTTACCCTTTATGTTTAAATGCTGGCTGAGTCCGAGTTGCGAGAGCCTAAACTCCACAAGAACCTCACCCTAAACTCGCCTGCGTGTACGAGAGGGAGTGACGAAACCCTAAACCGAAGTCGCATCCCGAGACTGAGACAACTTTTCTCAGGCTCTTCGTGCCAGAGATCGCCTTCGAACGGATGGTGAAGCGCCAGATTCAAAAGCTGGAAGATCCGGCCCTTCAGCAGCTAAGCTGCCATGAGGGTTTAGGGAAAACCTACACACATACATGCGTATAACAATATTATAAATAAATGCAGGAAATGTGTGGATATATATGTACATATACCCATTCATATCCACATGTACACACCCATGTGTATGCGGGTGTGTGTGTGTGCATATATATATATATATCTATATCTATATCTATATCTATATCTATATCTATATCTATATCTATATCTATATATATATAGGCATGTATGTAACAGTATGTATGTATGTATGTATGTATGTATGTAAGTATTTATGTATGTATATGTATACATACATACATACGTGTGTGTGTGTGTGTCTGTGTGCATGTGTCTATGCATGTCTGTATGTATGTATGGCAGGAATGACAGAAAGACAGGAATCTAGATTGATAATTAGATACGGTCTAGGCTGCTCAGCGGCATGTGTATCCTCGTCTAAAGGTTTAACGCCGCCTCTCGCTAGTCCTCATGGATCGCATGAACCATCTGGTGCTCCTGAAACAGCCCAAAGAAGGGAGGATGGGACCCGGAAATTTGGGGCGTATGCGCTTGTCAGGTGTGTCGCCTTGGTCTTCGAGGAGCTGCAAAAGGCTTAGTCAGGTAGACAGTCGCTATGTTCCTAAGGTTCTGGCTAATTTTTCCGTTCTGTATCGGAAATCCTATCTTGAATCTGCTGTGAGCCTGCGAGCAAGGTGTCACATGCAAGGGATCCGAACATGCTCAGCCTGTTTGCTGCATGCATCACTGAAAGCTCCAGGATAAGTGCTTCTCTTTCACTTGCTCCACTCCTGTCTCGGCGGAGCTGATCAGGTTTCGTGAGCCTTTGCTTCTGCACTTGCTTCACTCGCTCGCCCACCCCAAGTTGCCTAGATCATGTATTTCACCCTTTCGGTTGCACCGCTATCATCCATGCGCCCCCTCATTTCGTGTTGGTGGTCGCAGATGCCTGTCTGCAGAAACACAAACCGATGCAACAGTTTCAGCCCCTCGATTTAACAAGTCTTGTCGGGAGGAGCTGAAGCAGCTGGCCTCACAAAGTGGCCTTGGCTGTGGACAGGCAAGTGTCGGCCCGTCTTGGATGATTGTCTCGTGCTCGTCTAGCTGGGTCTGCATTGAGGCGCTGCTGCAAGGTGAAGTTGGCGACTTGCAACGGTTTCCAGGATTTGCTGCAAGAGGAAAGCATCCTCAGCAGTGTTGGTGTCGCGTTATGCAGCCAGGACTGCGGGAGAAGGTTCTCGAGGTCGCGCACGGCGTCATTCGACGGTCCCTACAGCCGACACACAACATGGTGCCGTGGCTGCACATGGCTGCACAGCAAAGCCGCTCACTGCTTATGCTTCTGTCGCAACCTTACAGCCGTCTGCTTGCTTGCAAAGGTCTCCAACTTGATCCGCATCGAAAGAGAGTTCATCAATGCGGCTCATCATAACAGCGTGCACCATGTACAAACTTATGCATCAGCTTTCAGGCGGAAGCGGAGGTGTGAACGGAATGCCCAACACTGAGGTGGATCACCCGGACTTCATCGGGGGCTTACGGGCCATGTCCTGCAGCAGCCTCGGTGAGTCTGGGTTTTCAGGTTCAATCTGCCCTAAAGCAAGTATGGGGCTTCGGGCGCCCGCCGTGCCACCTCCAGGCGTCCAAGAAACCCGGCCGGAAACGCCTCCGTCAGCCGAGGCGCAGATCGAGATGTCGTAGTCGTAGCTGTCATTGTGATTGTGATGACAAGTGATGCGTTTCGTAGCAATCGTCTTGTTCTTGCCATAGTTCGCCCAATCATTCTGACGGTAGTTCTTGGATGTTTGTGGTTCGTAACGACACTACTACTCCCGTGATTTGTAGTTTAGCGGCAGCAGCAGCCGCAGTGGGAGCAGAAGCAGAAGCAGGAGTAGTAGTAGTAGTCGTCGTCGTCGTCGTCGTCGTCGTAGTCGTAGTAGTGGCAGGCCATGGGAAGCCGTCAGCCCTCACAAAAGGAGGTGGCTTGGCCGCAGGATTGCACGCATTCGTGACACCATCCATGCACGGGGCCGTGTCGGCGCTTGTGCACAGTGTGACACTGTGGCGAAAAAGCACAGAAGCCGTGGAGGATGTAATACGGCTGCCGCCCGTGCCGCTGGTCGTCACCCCTGCCGGGGAGCCTTCGGAGAAGGAACGCATGGACACGGAGCTTCTGAAGCAGCTGGGCGAAGCAATCCGAGTGAGCGTCTACAGCGGCCGCGGGTCTTAAGCAGTGGATGTGAAACCGAGGTCGTTGCTGCTGTCTTATTTCACAATAGTGAAAAGCCGCTGCCCATGCATTTTTTCCCCGGGAGGAAGGTCTTCGTGTCGGCCGGAGGAGTAGCCATAGGAGGGCACTGTCACAGCACCCAGGAAAGATCATCGACTCCGTCCCCAAGGCCATCATGCATTTCATGGCCTCGTCCTTTGCTGTTTCGCTTCGGGCATCCCCTGTAAGAATCATTGCTTAAATCGCTGGTCCGCAAGAACTGAGGTCAATTCGGTACAGGAGACCCTGCATGCGGAGTGCATCTCCGTGGCTTGGCTCAACTTGGACGGCCGCCAAGAAGAGCTCAGTTTTCGGGTTCAGTCTGTCCCTGGCGAAATTTGGCCCTAAATCTTCGGGTGAACCCTGCGACAATCCCCTGAAATCCCAAGATCCGGACCAGGAGTTGTACAAGCCCGACCTCATCCCCCATCTCCTGCAGGAGCCTGAGGACCCGGACCAGAGAGTTGGGTTCTGAAAGCCATCTCTGATGGCCACGTTCATTACTCCCGCTATCGGCCATCGCCCCTCAACCCTAAACCCGACAGATTTGACCGCTGTAGCCCCCCCCAAATCCTCGTAGTCCTAGAATCCCAAAGCTCTAGCAACGCCAGGCCTTGCAAAGCCCTCACCTGGAATGCCCGAGTTGCAAGAGTTGAAATGTGAAGCACGGGACCTAAGACTTAAGATGGACAATAGATATTGCTTGTCACAAAAATGCCCCACAAGTTTTAAGAGCCCCACCATCCCCGTGTAAGTGGCTTTTGAAGGAGCTCCGGCAGAAACGCCGAAGCTGTGAGGCGCGAAGCTCTTGAAACTCGCAAAAGGGGCCCTCTTAGTCTTGGTATTGCTTGTTGTTATCAAGATTGTAGGTATGTCTTTGCTGCGACCTTACGGTAAGACCAGTGTTGTTCATAACTGGCCACCGTTACGCCGTTGCACATAGCTATTGCTATTGCTTTTGCGGCTTGAGGCAAAGTTGGCCGAGTTACAGAAGGCCCAGGACGACTCGAGCTGCCGGCTGCAGACCATGTCCTGCGTCAGTGTGCTTTTATTGCCAGGACCTACTGGCGCAAATCTGTGATGCTGCTGCAGGCTGTGCTTAGCAATAGGTGCCAAAGAGACGGCAGCATGTGGGGACAAAGCCGAGCGTGCGGCATGCCACTTCATCACATCACGGATGCATAGCTGGCATTGCTTGAGCAATGCGGCGAAATTGATGAGGCCAGACATCCCCTCGAAAGCGGGGCAAGGCATTGTCGAGGCCAGGAACACTGAAAGGGAACGTTGGACCAGCTTTGTTACTTTCCTCGATCATGCTTCAACAAGAGGGTGCCGAGCGTTCAGGGGAATGCAAGAAAACAATCTCAGCAGTTGTGCCTCCTGACTCGTACAGCCAGCAATGCACCTAATGCTTCATGAGTGCCGAGTCACGCGGCCTTCGCCGCTTTAGTATGTTCCGGGGTCGCGATGCAAGAGACCGCGGAGGAGCACGATGCGCTCGTACCACTGCTTCAGCAGACTGCAATGGCTTTTCGTGAAGGAAACCGCCTAGCGATGAAAGATGGTCTCCAGGAGATACTCGAGGAGATGAGGGCCAAGGAGCTTTGGAAAGGCGAGCGGGCCTCGCGCGCATCCTTCTTGGACGGCGCCGCATCGAAAGAGTTGGGGGTGGACAGCATGACCACCTGGCTTTGCCGGATGCTGATGAAGGAGGAGCTCGCAAGCCTTGCAGAAGAGCTGATTGAGGAGATCTCCGCAGCCAAGAAGGAAGAGGTCCTCCGAGTCCCTTTGGATTTTGGAGGAGCTTTTGGGGAGGAGCTCTTAATCTCCGTGGGCAGTCACGTGTTGGATTGGACCATGGCCGATGGGCGCTTCATTTGGCATGGCACGACCTGCACCCTGAAACTCTTGCGCTCCGAAATCGCAGAGGAACTTCCCAGGCTACAGGTGGCTGACACTGGGTTCTTGTCCGGGGATTTAATTTAAGTTACCATAATAGGGATCTATAGTAAATACTATGGTTTCTTTATTATGGTAACTTAAAATAAATCCCCTAACNNGACAAGGTGATTCTGGAGTTGGGCTGTGGACTGGGCGTGGTTGGCTTGGCTTGTGCTCGTGCCGGCGCGAGAAAAGTCGTGCTTACGGATTATGACAAGGAGCTGCTTTCTGCCTGTGAGCGTTCTATAGTCTTGAACTCCTTGGAGCATCGAGTTTCGACATTGCATCTGGATTGGAACTCTGTCAGTTCAGGGCTGCTTCCGGAAGATCTCATGAGCGACACCATCGATATTGTCATAGGAGCTGACATCATCTACGATGCAGACCACGCTCAAAGCGTGCTGGGCGCTCTTTGCCACTTCTTGCAAAGTGGTAGGGCGAAAGCTGCCATCCTCATCACCGGGGAGCCGGACCGGCGCCAGGGTGTGAAGCAGTTGGATGAGTCTCTGGGCCTTGAAGAGCCCTTGAGGGAGCTGGGACCCCTCAGGGGCCAGAAAGAGCAAGTCTCCTGGACACTGGAGCGCTTGCCGGGGGAAGAAAGGAGCCATCGCCTCTACAGCTTCCAGTCGCTGCCCTGACCTATGGGCAGTTCGCGATTCGCGGAGGGTCCGATACGGAAAAAGAACACATCTCAGGCTGATCAAGGCTCGTGCGCGGGGAAGTACTGGGGCAAACTTCTGCATACCCGCCAAGGCAGCCCAAAGCCTGGCTCTGCTGTTTTTCCTACTCTTTGCGTTGCCTTCGCGAGAGAACGGCCCCCCCCCCCCGA